GATATTGATCTTTTTAAAAACTGGTTTACTATATATGTGAGGTATCAGTATTTGTAAATGTTTTTTTCTTTTTAATTTTTGTGATGATATGATGACGATAGTGATCATGTTGAGTTTTTTTTTTAAATCTTGCCTTACTTATTGAAATCATACGACAATTATTTTCATTATCATTATCATTTCACTCTCCATTATTATCACGTTAACATAACTACCATCGCCCTCGTTATCATTATAATTAATATTAGTCAGCATCAAATTCTTATGGTGAATGCTATTACTTACAAAACTCCCTTTAAAATCTACAATTTTTAAAAAGTGCCTTTCTGAGCATCATGGTCTTATATAAACAAAAGAATTGGACCTGGAAATTCGGTGACTCTTTCCACATAAAGAATCTAGTAATATATTCTATACTATTTGATCCAGAGTTTCATTCACTTTTTGTGTCGGTCACGTGACGTAAAGCGGGCGCGTTGTAAACGTGGCTAAGGCACAGTAAGGGCGAAAGTAACTTGGAGCTGCGTGAAATTTTCTTAAAAACGTGTTTAATGAATTTATATTTCTTTCTTTCATAAGGGAGGTTACTCATACATCATGATGGTAATTCTTGTATATTTCATTATATTTTTCCCATTATACTGTGGTAGAGTCTATGGTATTATACTTTTTTTGGAAGCCAGACTCAAATATTTGCTTTTTAACGAGGAAATACCAAATAATACTAGTGTAAATAACGTCTCTTGCATTTAATGATAACGCACAAGATTTAACCTACTTTACCAAAACTTACATGAACAAAAATGTAGATACGAATTCAAAATCATTTACATTTTTCTCTTCAGAATCTTCGCATTTTTTCCCGCCATAAAATCCCCGTTAGCTTCACGGATGACGAACCACGGGAATTTATACGATATATATATATATATATATATATATATATATATATATATATATATATATTATATATATATATCTTTGCAGTGGCGCTGGGGGGGGGGGGTGAGGGTGTCGAGGTAAAGCAACATCAATACGACAGCTTCACTAACATTACGCATTTGGACTCCGTGACTGTCGATATTTGCTTGCGGTGGTTGTGGGGGGAAAAAAAGGGAAAAATACAGTCAGCTTTTGCAGTCATGCGGTGAAATGGAGAGCACTGTGTTGCGTCACTGTTTTCCGAAATTTTCAAGGTCTCGAAAACACTGATTTCCTTAACAGGTTTCTGTGAACTTAGATGCATAATCTGGTCGGAATCGAAGCACTCTGTCCGTGTGACCTCTCGTGCATGGCAATGACCGGGGAGGTTGGAGGAGCACGTCTCTGCTCACTCGTGGCAGCGTCTGCCTCCCCGACGGCGTGCGTGACAGCGAAGGCGTGTCTGGCACTGCCGCTGCCTCGTTAATAACAAAGGATTCGACGTCGCGAGAGGCGTGGGGAAGGCGTGGCGAGTGGCGGTCGGGGAGAGAAATGCGTTCACGGGGAGACAAAGACCGTTTCGAATTACTGTTTCGTATATCAGTTGAGATCTATAGAATATGACCTAAATTTATATAGGATATAACTAGCTTTGCCTTCTATGTCCTGTTTCGTTTTTCAGATGTGAAGATCTATAGAATGTGACCTAAATTTATATAGAATATATCTAGCTTTACCTTCTATGTCTATACGGATATTCTTGCTTAAAAAAAATATACAGAATCCAAGAAAAATGCTTTGATTTACTGTTTCGTATATAAGGAGTTGTGGTGATCTTTAGAATATGACCTAAATGTAGGTAAGAAATAACTAGCTTTGCCTTTTATGCCCATACAAATATTACTTAAATATATACAGAATCCAAGAGCTTAAATGTTTTTAATTCCTGTTTCGTATATCAGTTGAGAAGATCTAAAGGCTATGACCTAAATTTATACAAGAATAACTAGCTTTGCCTTCTATGTCTATACAGATATTCTTGCTTAAATGATATACAGAATCCAAGAACTTCAATGTTTCGAATTACTGTTTCGTTTTTCAGTTGTGAAGATCTATAGAATATGACCTAAATATATATAAGAAATAACTAGCGTTGTCTTGTCTATACAGATATCCTTAAATGTAGATAAGAAATAACTAGCTTTGCCTTCTATGTCTATACGGATATTCTTGCTTAAAAATATACAGAATCCAAGAAAAATGTTTTGGTTTACTGTTTCGTATATAAGGAGTTGTGGAGATCTTTAGAATATGACATTGTAGATTAAGAAATAACTAGCTATGCCTTCTACGTCTATACAGATATTCTTGCTTAAAAAGGTACAGAATCCAAGAACAAATGTTTTGAATTATTTTTTCGTATATCCGGAAGATCTATAGACCATAAATTAAATAAAGATAGCTTTGCCTTCTTTGTCTATACAGATATCATTGCTTAAATAATATACAAAATACAAGAATTTAAATGTTTTGAATGTTTCGTAAATCAGGAGTTGTGAAGATCTAGAGAATATGACCT